CTAACACATAAATGAATTCTAACAAAAAGTCACCTTAATTTTCTACAAATGTTTGCTATAAATTTTGCAGTTCTGAAGTCTTAGCACTTCTTGAGCATACTCAAGGTGTCTAATCCTTTGATTAAATATTTTCGAATAAGTACTGCAGAGATGATTCATTAATTAATTCCAGCGTACTTTGAAACGTAAATATTGCTTTTTTCTGTTTAATTAAATAATTGATTTGATTCAAAACCAGGATAAATAAAAATTCTTTCAAAAGTCTTGAACTGAGACCAAAAAAGCTAAAAGCTACATTTCGTTCTGTCATTTGCAATGTTTCAAAATGTTTTGGTGCAAAATGTGTGCAGGGATGAGTTTGTGGCCCACATAGAATATAATCGTGTAACAAGAATTGATATCACAAGAAACGCTCTCTGCTCGTAGACGAGGTTTGCTTAAAATTGTTGTAGTGTACCGGTTGGTTCTCTTACACAGCAACAAAGTTTTTTTTTCTTAACACAGCTGTAATTATTTATCTAAAAATTCGCTTGGTTGATGGTTCACCAAGGTCGTTATCAATAATTCCAATGAAAATTTTATAAATTTAATTAGTTAACAATTTTTACGCAATTCCTCTCAATCCTAGTATTAAATATGAAATTAGCAAACAAATTTAAAAATAATTTTATAAACATTAATTTTAATTTCGTCTCTTTTTCCGTTATTATTCGCAAAAGTTAAAAAGAAAAAAAACAAGTTTGGCTTTTTCTTCTGTCCCTTTAAGCTTTCGCATTTCCAAAAAATCCGGGGGAAACTTAACTTTTCGTTGTCTTTTTTTACGGTTACCGCAGATCTACTAATACGCCATTTTTTCGGCATTTCGGCTTTTCGGTGTTTTTAGGCAGTCCCTATAATAATATTCTGCGTATGCGTTAGTTTACGGATACTTATTTAACGTAGTTTTTAGGCAGTCCCTAAAATAATATTCTACGTATGCGTTAGTTTACGGATACTTATTTAACGTAGTAAGTCACGTTAAATAAGTAAATCGTTAAATAAGTAGACAAATTGAACAATCAAGGCATTATTTGTTGGTCATAACTTTTTCCAATGAGCAAATCCAGATTTCGCGTTTTTATTAAAATCCTGACCCGAATATAATAAGTGCTTGAATATCGAATTCGTTTTTAATAGTGATAAGTTATATCAAATTTTGCTATAATATATTAAAAACAATTATTTAATATATTATACATAATAATTATCTATCTATCGCAAACTATTATAAGAAAATGAGTATAAACGGTTTAAGTAAATTTAAATAATTTGGATCTTGGAAAAAAGTATCGACCTTATTTGTTAACCCAGACAAATAAATTTAAAAAAAACATACGTTAACCGAACTAAAAACATTTACTTTGTCATGCGAATTGTTATTATTTTATTGCATTTTTAGAAAGATAATTTACCACTTTTAATAATATTTAATTCACGACGTATATTCTAGTCGTAAGTTATACCTTAATAGTATAGTCAGGGCCGGCGCGAGTAGGTATCACGTGGGGGGTGCCATTACAACTTTTGCCGACTAAAAAAAAAAAATAAGGTCCTCGTTTTCCAAAATTTGCCGACTGCCGTGACGACATTTGCCGACTGTCTAACCTATATCGAAAGGGTCGACATTTGCCGACTAACTAGTCTAAAAGGGTGCAATTTGCCGACTAACTAGTCTAAAAGGGTGCAATTTGCCGACTAAGGGTCCACTTTGCCGACTAAATATCATTGATGAAGGAGGGGGGGGGGTGTACAAGTTGAGCGCAGTAGTACCAGGGACGTGTATTACAAATGTATGTAACTGACTTTAATAACTGTACCTATTAACTATATCTTATATCAAAAATCCTTTTTGATAAAATGAATAACTGATGACAGTAAGAAGAAAAAAACTACTAAGTGAGCAAAACAAATCATCATGCCAGTAACAAAAAAAAGAACAAGCACTAGTTGACCTAAATTAGCCAATTGTATAACTTTAGACATCTATAAGACACTTACAAAAATAAAATAAGCAATGAGCTTTTTAAATATTAACTAAAACATACATAAACAATACCAACAATAAAAAAAAAACATGAACAATAACAAACATAAACAAAAAAACAATAAAATAAAAAAAATGTATTTATATATAATGATTGAATTTAAATATTCAAATAAGTCATAAAAACAAAAACAGCTGTAATAATAGGATACATTCACAACAATGATAGTACTAAAGGCACACTTTTTATGACAGTATAACACAGTAACAAAAGGTAACATCTCTAATGTTCCATTCTCAATACATTTCAGGCAATGTTACCTCATTTCATTAATTTTTTATATAATTAAACTTAAGTTGATACTGCTACACAAATATACTGTCGCACCATCATACCGTCGCATTTCCTTTTAAGAAAAAATCACAATCATTTTCATGTACAACTCTATGCACTAACAATGGCAGTGCCGGATCAAGGGGGCTAGGGGGGCTATAGCCCCAGGCCCCACAAATTCAGGGGCCCCAAAATATTTTAGAGGACTTTTTTTTTTTTTTTAGTCATTTTTAGGGTCTGGCCTATAAAAAGGCCTCCAAAAACAAAAATAGCCCCGGGCCTCAAGAAGTCTTAATCCGCCACTGAATAATGGCGCATTATCTTTACTTAAACTATTAAAGAGTGAATCATAAAACTGAACATACTTCCAATGTGAAACAACATCATGAAATATTACTTAGAAACACTCACTATAACTTTCTGAAAAACCACTTGAATTAAATCAAGTAAAAATGCAAAAAAAACTCAGATATTTTAAACTTGGAAATCTAAATATTTTAGAAAACTGATATAAAAACAAACTTTGTGATGATATCAATCAAGGTATCATCTGGCCAGCCAGATGAGTCTCTTTAAATATTCTAAGACCTTGTCTTTAGACTGTATTGAAAAACTTTAAAGAAAACTTAAGAAAAATTTGAACTTCGACAGCCCATTTTTACAATGATACTATCGGGTAAAAATTTCTGAAAAAACAAGGGGTTGCACCCTGCATCACCGAATTCGCTGAAATTCGGCACAAATGTTTAAGGATATAAGTTAGGAAAGACTGTAAAATTTTTTCAAATAATTCTCAACCCTTTAAGATTTACTGCAACTTGAAGTTAGTTATTTTTTGAATGAAAAAAAAGGGGGGATAAAGCCGGAAATATGTCAATATACCATTACCCTTTTAACAAACTTGTAGTAATGTTGCAAAGCTAAAACTTGGTACCAAAGGAGTTTAAAACATGCTGAATCTAAAAATCATAATCTTATATCTCTCAATAAAATATAGTTTATTTTTAGATCCACAAAACGCACTTGTTAATGACAATAAAAAAGGCTGTTGACAACTATAGTTCTAGAAAAAATCTGACTGATGAAAAAAAGTTTTCGTTTCCGTTATTTTAAATATTAAACATATATCTACTTCTCGGTGTAGTTAAGGCGATTTACAAAATATTTGAATACTTTTATTTGGAATTAGCATGGTTTTGTCAGCATATTATGCCCAAACAAGATCTTTAAATGTTATAATTTTTTTTTACTTAAGGTTTTTTATGATATTTAACGAAACTTTTCTTTTTTATATATAATTTTCAAAATCTTTTTACCACCTGTAATAATGTATCTAAAGAACACTATTTTGGAGTCTTTAGATCAATTCCGCTCATCGGCATTAACATGAATTTAGTTAAAATCTTTTAAAAAAGTTTCTTAATTTACTACTGATCCTAGTTCTAATCGGTTCTGACTTATATTAACTATATATAGTTGTCAAAACACAATATTTCTATCTATTTTCACAAAAAATACTGGAATTCCGACCATATAATTATAAAAAATTCCCATTAAACGATCAGAATAGATCATATTGTTAAACTATAATGTTCATTTCACCTAAAAAACGTATTAATATAAAATCTTATTTAAATTTGGACGAGCGATTGTGATTTTAAGATAATTTTTTTTTTTTTAACATTCCACGGTCTGGTTTTTTTCGCTACAAACATTTTTATTTTATGATACCGCAAAATTTATTATTTTAATTTTTTTCGTCTTTTCATAATTCACAGACCAGACGATTTAACGGAAATGGCAAAATATCATACAGACTTTTATAAGATTTTAAAAGTGTCTTAACTACACCGAGTTTGCAAATCAATTTTTATTTGGCCTTATGTTTTATCAAGGAGTTATTGATGTTTTAGTTTTTCAATTTTTCTAAAGAAATTTTGGAAAAAAAAAAAAATTTGCAAATATATTTTGAATACAAATACAATTATTTTTGTTTTGTAATAACTTTGTAAAAAATTTACAAAGTTATTACAAGTTAATTACATTACATTATATCATGTCATTAAATTTAACAATATTATGTAACTTTTGTTGTTGATTGTTTTGTTGTAATAAAACATTTATTATCATCATCATCATTATTTATCATCAATAAAAAAAAGTAATAAAATGATATAACAATGTCTTACTAACATTACCATGTTAAGTAACATAACTAAATAAAATTATATTATATTTAGTTATCTTTTACTTTTACACAACTTTTTGTAAGTAGTTAATGGAGAATTTACAATAATTAGTAGATAGTTAGGCATTTAAAATATGTCTATTAAACTAATAGCTATTTGTTCAAGCAACATGTTCTTTATAAATACATATTGATATGATATTGTTTGTGTTCAAGTGTACTTTTCTTGTTAGGGACATTAAGATTATTTAAAATTTCTTGTATTAAGTGTTTAGACAGAAATTCCTCATTATATTTTTATATGGATAACAAAATTAAATGCTGCTTTGTAAATAATTATGGAGCTTGTTATAAACAATCATATACTCAAGAAAGAAATCTGATTGAAGGTATTGACAGCAATGATCGTAAGCTACTTGAAAAACGAACAAATCTGAAACAAGAACAAATTACTAATATATGCATACACCATCATAATCTGTTAGTTGTAAGATATGAGGGTAATCAGAAAAGTTGCTGTAATCCATTTCTGAGTCACCAAAAGGTGTGTAGATGTAAAAATTTATATATTTATATTTCATTAGGTAATATCATTATTAATAAGTCATATAAGTTTTTTTGGTAATAAGATTTGTTCAATGTTTCATAGTTATTAATATAACAAGTTGTATAGTAATATAATTACATAATATATATAATTAATGTTAAATAAGTAATATAGTTAATTTTTTTTAAGCATCTCTACGTGTGATTACAATGCATACTGTGTTAGAAGCAGAAACCATAGGTTTAAATCTCATATCTGGAAAAAAACTGTATTCAACCTGTCGTAGTAAAGTTGTGACATGTTTATCAAAAAGTATAAGTCAAAATAAAAATGATGAAGATTTTGATATTGTTAATGAAAGATCCATTCAAAATAAAAAAGAAAGTGTAGATACACACTTTGCATCTGCCGGAGTATCTCCAATGTAGGTCAAAGAATTGCACAAGTCAGATAAAATCAGAGAAGGTAAACTAAAATTGACAGAATTAATAACCTTCATTAAAAAAAGGTAGCCTTTTCCCTTAATATATCAGAAGAAAGATTTGAAGAACAGTCAAGTTTTAATAATGAGTATATGGAAAAAGCAAACTTGTTTGATAACATAATGGTATTGTTAACTAACAAAATTGCAGAGTCTACATCAACATCAAAAAAAGTACAACTTGCGACACTTGCTCCAACAGACTGGTCAATAAAAAAGGTATCTGAAACATTGCATGTAACAAACTATGTAGTTTGAACTGCATGTAAGTTAACATTAGAAAAAGGTGTTTTAACCATGCCTAATCCTAAGTTAGGAAAAGCTCTTCCTGATGTAACAGTTCAACTGTTACATCAGGAAGAGCTTTTCTTTTTAAGACAGATTAAGACAGCGATTTGGCCACGAGGATCGTTGGCTTTATAAGCTAGCGATCCGCTAGCTAAACAAGCTAGCGATATTCGTTACGATTAAGACAGCGATTTGGCCACGAGGATCGTTAGCTTTATAAGCTAGCGATCCGCTAGCTAAACAAGCTAGCGAATAGCTAGCGATATTCGTTACGATTAAGACAGCGATATGGCCACGAGGATCGCTAGCTAAATAAGCTAGCGATTAGCTAGCACTAAGTCGCTACGATAAAGACAGCGATTTGGCCACGAGGATCGCTAGCTTTATGAGCTAGCGATCCGTTAGCTAAACAAGTTAGCGACAAGTCGTTACGATAAGACAGCGGTATGGCCACGAGGATTGCTAGCTAAATAAGCTAGCGAATAGCTAGCATTAAGTCGTTACGACAACGACATCGATTTGGCTAGAAAATCTCGGCTAGGTTAGAAGATATGCTCAAAGAATCGCGTGCTATATTTTCCAGGGGAGTGAATTATAACCATTAAAATAAGATTGCATTTGTAACAAATTAAATACAAAATGTTAATACTTGTTTCCATAAAAAGTTATAAATGTTAAAGCCATTATAAAATGTTAAAAGAAAAGTTATAGATTACTTTTGAAAAATAAAAAGTAATTAACAACTAAATGATTTTGCCTAAATTAAATTAATAATTTCAAAAGATATTTAAAGAGATAATAGAATAAAATTTCTGTCAAATTTTAGTTTTTTTTTTAATCTTTATCAATTTTCGAAAATAATTGCTAAAAAAGTTGTAACAAATAAAATATCTAAAAAAAAAAAAAAAGTCAATAAAAAATAATAGAATAAATAAACAAAAAAAAAAAAAATAAGTTAACTAGAATCACTACATGAGTCAGTGTTTAAATTTTTTTTCTAACAGGACTGTGTATTTGTATATCACTTGTTAAAGAAGAATTTCTCTTTCTTGCAGCAAAATAACGATCTTTAGACTTTTTTAAGTGTTTCGCAATTATTGTAGTCATACTGGATTCAGTGGCAGTTGGAAATAAACAGTAAGCTGCATCAAAAATCAAACTTTCGAATGGTCCTATAAACTTACACTTTTTATCTGCACCAGTTCGATTAATGCTGCAGCACAGCTTGTCTGTTAAACAAGTTTTTAAAGCATTTTTTAAAAAGTCACTTACATTTCTCCCACCAATTTGCTTTAACTTTCTGCAAATGATATCTTTATCATTAGAGTTAATTATTTTATTTTCTAGTGAGTCAAACTCTTTAACTGAATTAGCTGGTAAATAATCTATATTAATATTTTCTTTATTACCATGATTAGTGTCTAAAATTGAACGCATGGAACGCATTTCTGTTTCCAACCCACAAAGTTTTCTGTACACGGAGTTCACTATAAATTAAATGCCTTCAACAGTATTGGGTTCAACATTTGCTTTCCGAATAAAGTTATTAATTTGGTCTATCCCAGTTTTTTGAGATGGTAAAGAAAAAGAAGAAGATGAATGCAGTAACGGTTGAACTTGTGAAACAGACTGCATTTCTGACGGAAACACAATCTGTGTAACTGGCAAGTCATCTACTTGATCCATTGAGGCAGAGACGGACAAAAGGTTCTAAAAAAGATTAACAATGATTATAAATACATTCACAATATTCTGATTATATTATACTTTTTTTTTTTTGAATTTAAAAATGGTAACTAAAAAAAGCAAATAAACCATAAAAATGAAACAAAAAAAGTTATTTTTACGAATGGGATAAAATTTTAAAATGTATATTGAATCGGAATCAAGAAGTTTTGGTGGCTCCCACAATGGTAATGATGGTAAAGGAGGTTCTTCAAAAATACATTTTTTTTTTTCTCTTTCTGTTTTGTTGACTTAAAGGAGTTTTCTTGTGTTTTTTTTTTTTAATGTTTTAAAATCAATATCTACTTCTGATTTTGCAGTATGAATACGCTAAAAAAATAACTTTTTTAATATACATACAATCATAGCTTTATACAATATACATATCATAGATCGTCCAGGCAATATTTTTTTGTATAGAAAATCTTTTAGATATCCAGCAAAAAAAAAAGTTACAAAAAATTTCCAGAATTCTGGAAATATCCAAAAAAGGTTAATCCTTGACATATACAAAAATCTGTTACTAAAAAAGGACAAAAGAAATCATAATAAATACAGCTCATAATCAACTCAACTTTACCTAAGTTAAATACTCAACACATTTTATGTGCATTGATTACAATAAAAATAGTTTATTGAGTTAGTTTAAAAATACTCCCATTCAAAGGTGGGCCGAAACTACAACTGTATAAAAAACTATCGACATTCCGTGCTAAAATATAGATAGTTAAAAAAAGCTGCGATATGTAGCAATCAAATAGCTATAGACTTTTTGTAATCTTCTAGCTAGCTTAAACGCTACTGTATTAGGCACTTCAACATTTTTAGAAAAAATGTAAAATGAAAACAAAACAAACTTCATTAGTTTGAACTAAAAATCAACTGTTAAAAAATAACAAACTTATCGTTTTATTATTATTAGTTGAAAATTTGTTTAACTTTTAAACTACAAAATTAAAGCTTTTTATTGTATGATTTTTGCGGTTTTCAGCAATTTAACGTTTTTAAGAATCACATCAAAGTTTTTGGTTTTATACAAAAGCAAAAACGTTGATGCGTTTAAACAAGACCGTTATTATTTAAAACTAAATATGTAATACCAAAAATTTTATAGTAAATGGAATTTCAATAATTAGGAAACAACCAACATTTGACATAATAAGTCGGTGACAACTTTTTTAAAACATTTTATTTAATGGTAACGCAAAAAAGGGTTTTTAAAAATAATAAAATGATTTTAAAAACTCATAAAACATAAATATCGTATAACAAGAAAATGATTTTAAAAGAACTGACTGTTTAAATTAATATTAAACTGTTTAAATTAATATTATTTAAATAATATTTTTAATTTGAATTATGTATGAGTCAACCTTAGCCCCTATATAATATAGGGGCTAAGGTTGACTCATACATAATTCAAATTCAAAATATAGTATATTCGTTTTGTTAAATTTTAAATATTGCCTATAGTGAGGAAAAAGCAAGTAAAAATATCTCAAAAACGCTCAAAGTAACCCCGGTTTACGGTAACATAATAAAAACTAAAATAAAAGAGGAAAATGCGAGTTAAATTATTAGAGTCTTACATATAGATCAAATAAATGAAATGTAATTACAGTTACAACTTGACCCATCCGTTTAGAGCTTTGAAGAAAGCTGTTGCATTCCGAAGGTTCATCTGAAGATCTTTTACATGCCATTTTTGATATCGATATTGATATTTTTAAAACAATATGAATAGTAGAGTGATAGTGCGAAAAAAGCAATATCGATAAAATTGTTGGTTATGTATAGTAAATTTCAATATGACAAATTAAGTTGTTACCAAAAATCATTAGTTGCATAACTGGTATTGCGTAATGCGGTATACTAAAGTATGTTAATTAAAACTTCTAGATAGCAATTTCATGACACGCGTTAATGCGTTTTTAATCAAGAAAACAAAAGTATTTAGATTTTTTAAATGAAAAATAAACTTTATTGTAATATAGAAATAACCCAACTGTATTATTAAAATAAACTGTAAAAATTAAAGTTTATATAGTTTTTTTAATTTTTTTTACAGATATAGCTATATATATATATTTAAATATATATATAAATATATATATATATATATATATATATATATATAAATATATATATATATATATAAATATATATATATATATATATATATATATATATATATATGTATATATATATTATATATATATATATATATATATATATATATATATATATATATATATATATATATATATATA